GGAACCACAGCTGCGTTCTCAGTGCCAGAGCAAAGGTGGGGCCGGAGAACAATAGGGAGGGTTCTTTGCTACTTTGTTAGGCCCAGGATTTCTCAGAAAAAAACTTTCCTGAAGATAAGAGCCTGGACCATTCACCAAAATGTACATCTGGGTCCAATAAACCAGGCCGGTTTCACCCACGTGAGGCTGGGTTCATGCTCGGTGGTCTCCGGGTGGATGCATTCTTGAGGCCTGTCTGAGAGAATGAGCTAGATTGCTGGGAAAGAGAAGCATCTCTCCCCTCTCTGGAGAATTCCAAGTCTCCTGCTGAAGGTCGAAGCCGCCTGCCCCGTGTCCAACAACGACGGATGTTGGATGGTCCACCTTTGGCCAGTGGTCCTGGCCTGTCACGTCTGCCCACAACAAACGTTCTCATGCAATTTACTCAGCCTGGGGTCGCTGGCTGAGGATCTCGATCTGGGAGCAGGTGCACACGTAAGCGCGGTTTGGAACCCACTAGGACCTTGGGACCTCCGTACTCACAAGTTCATTCTGCAGTTCGGAGGTCGGTGAAGGCTCCAAAAGTTCTCAGGAGCTGGGAAGTTTCCCTCTCTGGGCCTTTGGTGGGCAGTGAGTCTGTCCACGAGGGAGAGGCAGGGGCGGCCACCAGTGTGCTAGCTTTGTGGGACCCGGACAGAATGACATGCTTCTGGGCAGGCGGGGCCTTGGGGTCAGGAGAGCCGTGGGGTCTACAGACGTCTCCAGCTCCTTGTGACAGGGGCAGGGCACAGCTGCTGGGGACTCTGGAAGGCATGGGAGTCAGGAGGAGGCCGTTTCCAGTGATGCAAGTCCAGGCTGCAGGTTGCGGGCTCAGTGCTCCCAGTACCCACGGCCCGCGGCATGCTGGGAGAAGGATGACCACCTGGGTGGGTGTTCTCGGGTACTGCTGCTGAGCCCACCTGGTGCCTCGGGCTCACACCCTCAAAGCGCCCACTGCTGTGGTCACCACCTGCTGCAGGGGATGGTGACCAGCGTCCACAGGCCCCACAGCTGCACAGTGGCAGACCAGGAGTTGAACTGGCAAATACTCTGTCCTTGACCTGACTTCAATCAGACTCCTCTGAGCCCTCCTTCTGACTAGGCCCATGGTGTCCAGCCCACGTCCTGCGTGCGCAGTGAACTTGGTGAGCAGCCCACCCTGGACCTTGATAGCTGGGGTTTCTTCCCCACCCCCCGGGGTATATAGCAAGTGCTGGACCCGCCTGTAGCAAGCGTCCCGTTGGGTTATCTTAGCACCCACTCCCTCTGGACAGTTCCTCTGGACAGGTCTCCATCACTGACCCCTCTTTCTCCTGACTGACCATAGAATCGCCACTTGTCCTTGGAGTCCGACCTCTCCTCCCCTGCGGGACCCCGATTGCAGTTGTCTGGAATAAAGTGTTCCTCCGCCTACGTCAGCATCAGGGTGAATTTTTTTTTTTTTTTAACAGAACACAGGCAGCTGCTCCCACAATCCTGCCCACCCCACGTTCCTCCAGACCAGGACAACTATAATGCCAGCCACACCTAGCCGTTAAAATTTTCTAATAGCCACATTAAAAAAAGAAAAGCATTGAAATCATTTTAAAAATTGTTTTCACCTGAAATATCATCTCCGAGGAATTAGAAAGGCATTAGTGGCATGTCTGACCGTCCCTTTTCCCGACCCTTCTTTCAAAATCCATCTCACTGGGGGGAGCGTGGCTCAGGGCCCGGTGGGTGTGCGTGGCTTCTGGGCTGCGAGATGCCAGGCTGATCCTGGGAGTCTGGGCCCTCAGCTGGGAATGGTGACAAGGACAGAGGACTGAGGCGGGAAGGATGGGACAGTGAGCAGACGGCTTGTGTTAGCCAGCGGGAGGGCTTGACCCATCCGACGAGGCTTTTTAGCTGTAGTGGACACCAGCTGGGACCGTGTCCGAATGCAGATTCTGGCCCATTGGGTCTGGGAGGAGGCCCAAGACTCTGCATTTCTACAAAGGTCCCAGTGTGGTGACATGCCCTGGTGACTAGAAATGAGGACTGGGGACACGATTCCCGCCTCGAATGACGAGTGGAACAGGAGGCAGCCTCGCGTTGGTGGAGTTCCTGCTCATCTGTGGCGATAATAATCGCAGCTCGATACTACTGAGCACCTACTGTGTGCCAGGTGCTGTGTTTGGTGCTTGACACCAGAGCTTAGCAAGGCATGACTGACGGGCCAAATCCAGACACTCCTGTGTTTATAAGTTTGACTGGAACCAGCCACATCCATTCCTTCCATCTTGTCACGTCAGCCATCACTGGGGCGGTGGCGAGGTACGGTAACTGCAGAGACTGTTCTGGAAGCCTGAAGTATTTACCATCTGGACCTTTCCATAAATGCTCTGCAGACTCCTCTAATCCTCTTCGAAGTCCTGCGAGGCACAGCTATTGTCCCCTTTCACAGATGAGCAGCGAGAGGCTTGGAGGCCTCGACGCGAGGCTGGCTCAGGGCCTCCAAGCTAGTTAGACTTGGGGTCTGGCCCAGGGAGGCCGGGAGCGAGAGCCGGAGAAGGCCACACGGTGTGGGCAGGCAGCTGCCTCTTTGGGGGGCCCTGGCGTGGCTTGGCCGTCTGGGGGCCCCGCCCACCGGGGAGGATGAACATCTTATGGTTACTTCTGGGGACCGTCTGGATAATGGAGGACGGCGACGTGACAGCAGCCACCATCTCTACCTCTGACATTTGTTCCTGTCCCCGCCCCAGTTCCTGGTGCAAGGGGCTAGGCCTGGTTGCCATGGGAACAAGGGGCGCAGCTCCCCGCATGAGCTCGTCTCTGGGAATCCAGGGACTCGGCCGCGGTGCCTGGAGGTGCCCACGCCCTGCGCTGCGCCCTCCCGCTCCGTGCTCCCCACTTGGAAGTGAGCAAGAGGCCGCGGGCCAGGTGCGGGTGCCACGCTCCCGCTGGCCCTCAAGGGTGACTCCCAGCCCCAGCCCTGCCTGTGTCCCCCCCTCCCTCGGCTCCAAAAGCAACTCACAGTCTTGCAAAGAGGGCCACCCTTGCTCGGGGGGTCACTGAGGTCAAGAGAGGCCTAGAGCGTCCTGGGTGCACCCCCTGAGGCTCTGAGAGTCTAGGTGACATGGGACAAGGGCCAAACATTAAGGACAACAGCAGAAGATTTCAGTGCTCCATCATCGATGCTGATGGACCCCCTGGATCTGAGTCCTGCTCTCTCCTGCGCCACCAAGACACGCGGACTTCCGAGCCTCACCCCCCGCCCCCCCCCGTCTGCCGGGCGAGGGTAACAGCGAGCCCACCCGGACTGCCATAGCCTCGAAAGCATGGAGACGTTCTTCCTCCCTGGGCCCTGCTGGTCCCCTGCCCGTCTCAGGCTTCCAGGCTGCTGACCTGTCTGTCCTCCCTTGGTCCAGACCCAGCCCTTCGCGGGGAGCCAAGCGCACGTTTCCCGCGGAAGCAGGCAGGGTGATAAGGCCCATCCGTTTCCTCTCCTGACGTGCTGTGGCTGTCACCAGGCTCTGATAAGACAGTCCCAGCCGGGTGGGCCCCACAGCTGCAGAGAGTGATTAAGAGCCTGGAGTTGACAGGGACGCCGTGTGTCGTGGGGCCGCGGTGGTGGCAGCCTTCATCAGTGTGAGGCACAGGACGGGGGCCCGGGAGGTGGAGCTGGGAGGAGGGCAAGGCTCTGACGTCGTTCCCTGGACCATGTGGACCCCTCTCCCTCCTCTGTCTGCTCCCCAGTGCAGAAGGGACCAGGGTCCTTCCAGAGTCCACGAAGGGCTGGGCGTCCTGAGGGCTCCAAGTGCTCTCCTCAGGCAGGGATCTCCAAGCACGCCCCCGTAGCCATGTGCCCGGGTGGCCTGCGCCAGCCTGCAAGAGCCACTGTGAATTTTTCAGGCATTTTGTGAGCTGGTTGCTAAACGCTAACGTTAAATATTAATTTACAGAAACTCGTGGTCCGATCGGTGCTGTAAAGAGAGAGGTAAGGTAGATAGACATTATCGGGAGTCATGGTGTTGGGCTGAGCACCCGCACGAGTCCCCAACAGGCCAGACGCCAAGAACAGTGCAGCCACCCCTGCTAAGGTGGCAGGAACCCTGACTCGTCCAGGAAAGCCAGCCGTGACGGCTGACTCTGTTAAATTTGGAAAGGCCGTTGTTGGGAAGCCCCAGGGGCCGTTGAGGCACCCGGCCGTGGAGGTGTGGTGTGAGGTGTGGGTCCTCGGCTCTCCCACTCTGGGCACCAGGGTGCCTTTCTTTCTTCTGTTTGCTTTCTCTTGGGTGCTGGGGACCCAACCTAGGCCTGGGGCTCGCTAAGCATGCGCCACCACCAAGCTGCACCCGGCGCCCCCTGGGTTTTCTGAGAACTTCGGGGCAGTGTGTAACTGAGGTCAGGAGAAATCCCCTCCTGCGCTCCTCTTCCCACCATCAGGTGCTGAGGAGCAGGGGTCTGTCCCCAAGTGGGATCTGTCGGCCTTCCAGAAATAATAGTCCCACAGTCAGACGGCCAGCGGTTGCTGGGTAGCCTGTCCTTTTCCAAGGTCCTAAAGATCCCATAAAACACTCTGAAAAGGGCCTGCGGGCAGGAAACGTCCTCAACTCCCCGTGTGGTTTAGAAACGCCTAAGACGGCTGGGGAGGGCAGGGCTCCACGGGCCCCGCAGACCCCTCCTGCCCACTTCTGTCCCACCCGTGTCCTCCTCGAGCTCTCTCGACCCTCCCGCAGGGGGTGGGGACATGGCTCAGTGGTAGAGCACTTGCCTAGCATGCCCAAGGCTGGAGAGTTGATACCAGGAGCCAAAACACAACCCAAATCCTAAAACCAAAAAAATCCACGTTCCCAGCTAATGTACGACCCTTGACCAATGACCGAGATGTAGTCCCAGCGGGGACCTCTGTGACAACTGAGAGCAGCTCTTCCCCACGGGGTCCCTCTGACATGGTTCCCCGGGTCAGGGCCAGCCTCTGGGAAGCCAGGCCTACAATACCAGCTATCTCCAACCCTTGGAATGTTCTAGAAACCTACTTTAATGTCTTGAGGAGCTGGGGCTCTTTGGGATACACTTTCAAACACTGTATCCTAGAGAACAGCCCCCACGTAGATGTTCTGGAGAGGAGACCCTTGGTGGAGGGAGGGGAAAGCCCCTTTCCCCCTTGGGGTCTGGAAGGCCCTCGAAGGTGGGGTGCATGAGTGGGGGTCCCCCTGGTGTGGCTCAGGTGACCAGATCTTGTAGGAAAGCATCGTCCACCTCGACCACACCGCAGAGCAGTCTGGAGCCTGGTCGCCATGAACTACTCTTCCTCACTTTCCTGACCCTGTTTTTCTTGGGACGGGATTTGCCTGGGACAGAAGGTCTCAAACTCAGGAGGGATCATGTCAGTGAGTGAATTAGACCTGGGACAGGCATCGGGAGTGACGGGGACAAGAACGGGAGCATGTGCCCCCTCTCAGGTGGCAGCCACCAGCAACTCCAAGCCAAGTGTTACGGGCAGGAAGGGGACCCAGGTGCCGGCCGCACCCTGGGCGGCCATCTCTGGCTCCTGTGCCCGGCTTCCTTGTGCCAGACCCCAAGTCTAACACGTGGGGACAACGAACCCTGGGCTCCTCGCCTGTTCACAACAAGCATTCAGTGATGACGAGGAGGAGGAGGAGGATCCGGTCATTACTGTCCTAAAAACCGGCCGTGGGACCCATCAATCACCTTTCAGCCGGACGAGGCTGTGATCCCTGCTAACCGAGTCCAGATTTTGCTGGAAGTCCCTCGACTCTCTCATATTGGCAAAGAGTCAAAAAGTTTCTACACTCTGTGACCGAGGGGTGCAGACCTGTGTGTGACGGGAGATGCTGGCCGGCTTGGGCTTGAGGGCGGGAAAGTCCAAGGTGACGGGCGGGCGCTGGGGGCTGGTCTCTGTGGCTGACCCTCTCTGGTGATGCTGTGACTTCCCTGGTATGTGCCGTCCCTCTGCCTGTTATGTGTGGCCCCTGCCTCTTCTCCTGGCCACCTCCTTCTCATGCTCTGGACCTCATCTCCCTCCTGGCCCCTCAGACAGGGGAGCTGTCCTGCAGCACTGTGCACGGACACTGACTGCGGCTGTCACACCTAAAGCATGTGCCTCTGGCCTGGCACAGCCCAAGTCTGCTGGCTCCCCTGGCCGGCGGAGCCCAGCCCCAGGGACCTGTGCCACCCACGGGGCCAGGAGCTCCTCTGTCCAAGTTCTGGGAGCTGCGGAAGAATGGACACCGCCGCCTCCCTGCCTGGCCGTGGGCAGAGCCTTGGGCAGAATCCCCTCTGTCACCGGGACACTCTCTGCTCTGCCACTGGGGGCAGATGACAAGTCTGTGTTCGGGGAGTCGTGTCCTATCAGAGCGCCACAGAGAAGGCCATCCTTCCTTTGCCTTGCCAGGGGCTCTTTGGGCCACTGCTGTCCAGCTGCACAAGCTCCCGGGCATGGAGACGGGATGGGAGATGGAGGGGAGGCAGGTGCCTGCCAGGCGGTGGGATGCTCTCCTCGGAGGGATCTTGGCAGCAGGAAGCCTCGAAGCCTGGGTGGGGGCAGGGCAGGGCCTGGGCTGGGAGAAGAGCAGCCCACGCTGAGCTGAGCAGGTGGCCTGGGCAGGGACATGCCCCCTGGGGTTTCCAGAGGGCCACAGAGCAGGGACAAGCCACCGGACTCTTGGTAACGGATGTGAGCCGCTCGCCCTGCACCTCGCTGGGTGAGTCAGGGCTGCAGTCAGCGACATGGCAGAGCCGCCCCGGGTCCCCCGCCCCTGTGTCTGCTGGGCGTTGGCCGGGACCCTCGCTGGAGCCATGGCTTCAACCACCTCACGTGTCTTCCCACACCTGGCTGCCTCCCAGCACGGTGGCTGGTCCCCAGGGCCGGTGTCCCCAGAGACAGAGCCAGGTGGTGTTTGGATCACGTTCTCCAGAGCAGATCTGGAGTCACCCAGCATAACTGCTGCCACGTTCTGTTCCCTGGAAATGAATCACTAAGGCTGGCTGTCACCCAAGGGGAGGGGACGGAAGAACTGTGGGCGTGCTCTGAGCCTCCACAAACAGCCAGGCCTCGGAGGAGCCGGGGACGTGCACACAGAGAGCCCGGAATCAACGACGGGCAAGGGGCCTGCCACCAGCCCTGGGCGGCAGAGGAGGAGCCTGCGTTGCGAGTCGCTCCGCATCCCCCAGGGTCGGGGACACTGCCTTCTGCTCCCAGGCCCTCCCTGGGTAAGGGTACCCACGACTTTAAGTTGATATGAGACTGAAGCTTTCAAGTGAGCCTTAAGATCAAGGGAGACTCTTAACCCCCAGAAGGGATGGAGAGCTTCGGAATGAGATCAAAGACCTGCTCAGGAAGACTTGGCCTTTGGGGAAGCCAACAGGAGTGATGGGGTGTCCCCGGAGCGCTCTTGAGAGCAGCTGTTGCAAATATAAAAACGACTCCGATATGTCCCTCAATATAGACGGGTCGAGGCTCCTCCGTAGAGCATCATTTGCAAGGCCGTGGTCAGGGTCGTACGCATGTTCTGTTTGCTTCTCAAACCCTACAATGAGAAGCACTGGGCAAACTCATCCCCAGGGGCCGCCGTGTCAGGACTAACACCCCCGAGCCTCTTGCTAACGGGGCTGGGTGCTGACAGTCCCCTTCAGTAGGTCTCTCAGAATGTGTTGATTTAATTAAACATCTTTCAGTACAGAGATCACCGTAGCGTCTGGAGAAATTAGCCCTCTTCTCTGATTTCACGGAAGTGGGAGCTGATTCCACAGGCTGAATCTCAGGCCAGACCCTCTGCAGCAGACGCAGCATCTCAGCCGGATCCGCAGAGGACGGAGAGGGCGTTTCAGGATCCCAAGTCCTTTGCTCTATTTTAAGGTCTCTTGCACAGGCGGCGATGCCCTGTGGCGAGCTCTCCTGGCTCCTGACCCCTGAGTCCCTGGCTGTCCTGCAGGGCTCTTCATCTGGGTCAGTAGGGAGCCCAGGCACAGCTGGGCCAAGAATGAGTCACACCTCAGCACTTGAATTTAAAATGCCCTTGACCCCGGCCGGGTCTGCAGAGATGTTGGGAGGAAGCCCTTCCGGCTCTGTCGTGGAACGCCACGGTCATCTCGTGTTCGGAGCACCCGGGAGCCGTGTTCCTCCCACAGCACACATCTGTTGCAGACCTCGGGGACGGTCTGACGCAAGGTCACGTGCCGACAGCTATTTATGTAAAAGCTGCGTGAGCGTCAGGACATCCTGTAACAACAGCGGGTGCCCTGGAGACGTCCACCGCTGTGTCCTTCTGCATGCTTCTTGTTTTCCTGGTGTCCCCCTGGCACGGAGGACATGCAGAGCAGCGGGGGCAGCAGGGACCGCTCTCTGCATCCGAGCACTGGCCTGATGAATTACGTCCCTCCAGGGAGTTTTCATTCTGAACAAAACTCGGCTCGGCGACAGCAATCTACAGGCGGACTCGGTCCGTTTTCAGGGGTCTTACTGAAGGCACATCGACCCCTTAGGAGCAGCCTGGTCCCCAGACAGACCCCTTCAAAGCCAGGTTTCCCAGCGCCTGCCACCCTGGGACTGCAGACAGATAATGACACACCGGGCCTTTGGGACATGCTCCTCTGACATGGCCTAAAGCTGACTGTGATTTCTAATTCTCCTCAGTTTGGGTTCCCTTGGAAACAGACGAAAACAAAGGTCTGGGGGCAGGGGATCCGTTTGAGAGGTGATCGCAGGGAGCAGGACTGAAGGGGTGACTTGGGATCATGATTGGCGACCCAGGGTTCCTCAGGCTTGCTGCTCCGGGCAGGGTTGGTCACCTTATCCAGGCGGTCGGGTATGACTGGTGGAAGGATGGTCTAGCGCTGTCCAAGCAGCTGCCGGATGACGTCAGCTCACAGCTGCCCACTGTGGGCACAAGCAGAGGCGCCCACACCCCACCACCTTTAGCTGGTCGATATTATCAGTCCATCTTTGAGATCAGGAAACCGAGGCTGAGGTGGGGGACGTGTTTGCCCTGCTGTTACGGAGCTGGTGACTTCCAGGAAACAGAGACTGTGCAAAGACCCCCCCCCCCTTCAAACCCCGATTGGTGCCATCAAGTCAGGAAGATTCCAGACACGTTGCTTGGGGTAACAGGAATGCCCGGTGGGAAGGATAGGACAAGGGAAGGGGACACTCTCAAGGGAGACAGTGGGTCCTCTCAGAAAGCAGAGGGACACTGTGTTTCCCCGGCTCTCCAGTTTTATGGGGGATCCCAGACAAGTTTCCAGCAAGTCCTGAGCAGGTCCACCTCTTGACTTGTGAGTGACAGCAGGATGACATCAGACTCTCAAGTCCCCTCTGCCATGACCACTCTAGGTCACCCACCTTGGCCCGTGCTGACCGGTTCTACTTGGATCCTTAACCATCCATGCTTACAGATTTCTTGGTTGGGAGGAACTCTCCTGACCTCCCAGGGCTTCAGGATCTGGTCACCAAGGTCTCCCCGTTCTGGGTAACCTGGGTTCCTCTCAACATTACTTGGGGCCTGCATTTCTCCTGCAGTTGGCTGAGGAATATCCTTGTCCACTGAGGCCAGCCAGGGCTGCATGCAGGTAAATTGCTTTTTGGCAAAGAAAGTACGTGGGAGTCGGCACCGTGGGCCAGTTTACAGGATCACTCTCTTAACCTCCTGTTCCCACCGACCTCTCCTCTCTGTCCCCTAACACAGCTGTGAAGCAGGGCTGGGGTCCTGGCACAGGCCGTCTGACCACGGCCTCTCCTTGGAACCCGCCACCGTGTTCTGCCAAGGGTTGGGGGAGAGCATACGTCTGCCCTGTGCTGTCCCAGTTCGGGTAGTGACAGCTCCAAGTGTGTCACCCTGCCCCACCCCTGGTCCCCGCACACTGAGATGCCTGGCCGTCCAAGTCCCCCGGGGCCTCTGCAGCTCCTGGCCTTCCCTGCAGGCTCCTGTCCAAGCAGCCGGACACACAGGGGTTCAAGTTGTCCCCTCCTCTCCTGCTCCCAGGAAAGCCGGAGGGAACTGGCTTTCCCACGCTGGGGTCCTCGGAGCAGCTGGAGAAGGTGGGAGCCCCGGAGCGTCTGGCTTTCACTTCTTCTGAAGGAGCCCTTTGATTTTAACGGTGGCGGAGGACATACACCAGGCCTGCTGAGTGGGGGCCCAGCCGAGTGACCTCTGTAATTCTCAGTTTCCATTCCACGACCACCGTGGGAAAGTAGTTTTAGCTGCAGACCCCGAGGTCCACACACATCTGGAGGCCACCCATGCAAAGCCAGGGGACCCCGGCAAGGAGGTCAGACGAGACACCGGCCAGCGCCTTCACTGGGCCGAGGACGTGGACCAGACGGGTTCCGGCAGGGAGCTCTAACTGGTGGCTCTAGAGGAGTGGGCGTGAGTGTCAGGCCCTGTTGCTGTGGCCGAGGGTGGCCCCTGGCGTGTCTGCAGAGGCCCTGCAGGGCACGGGTCACTGTGCCGTCCAGCGGGCCATGTCTCGTGGGGCAGGGGAGGTGCTGAGCCCCGTCCACAGCAGGTACGCGGATCAGCAGTGGATAAGCAGCCGAGGACGGAGGAGCTTCCTCCCCTGACCAGTCTCTCTCTGGGCCCCGGTGTCCCCCACTGTGACATGGGCATGGTAATGCCACCTGTCACGGGACCCGGGAAAATCCAGTGTGAGGGAACCTGCCGAGGTGGTTGGGCCTCCTGCAGGGCGAGAGCTCAGGAGCTGCAGGTGGCCTTCTGTCGGCTCAGTCATGAGATGCCTGGGGACTTCTAAATTGGGTGGTTAGCACTGCGTCGGGGGGAAAAAAAAAAGAGACTTGACTTGTCGACATTTATCTTTGCAGTCCTGTTCCCTGGAGTGGTTTGGAATGTGATTTGTTCCGTAAAATAAGAGGACGATGAAGCGGGTTTTATGGACACTTTTAACAACCGTTTTTACATTTTTACTGTGCTTCACGGGCTTTGCCGAAGCCTGTGAGCCGAGGTGTCACAACAGTGAGGCAGAAGGGCCACGCCAAGCCCAGCCAGGACGCCTCGGGGTGACAGCTGCCAATCAATCACGCACTGCCCTGGGTGGAGGCGGCCGGCTGTCTCAGCCTTGGGTTCTGACCCTGAAATACGACTCTCTTCTGTTTGCAAAGCATCGTGTCTGGTCCCGTGGGCTTTCCCGGGAGTCCGCATTTTATAGACCAGAGAACGGTGGTGCCCAGGGATCCTGTCCTTGGTGCCAGAGTCGGCGCACACTCGAGCGGCCAAGGTTTGGACCTGAGCCCTGGCTGTTGTATACGAGTTTCTAGAACTTTCCAAATGTCTCTGTCATTTTCATTTGCCCGGAAGAGAAAAGCCCTCATGAGTGTCTATTTTTAGGGGCTGCTTTCCCAGGTCATGATGACGTCATTCTGCCTTGGAGCCCTGGGCCAGGGTCATTCACAACAGGCGCACCTGTGACCCCGGGGCTCTTGGGGAATGAGAGAGACATCCTGGAAGTTCCGACCCAGGCCCTTCCCGGAGGACTCACTCACGGGGGTCTGTGGGGGGTGGCAGGACGGCTGCACGGCCCCGCTCCTGCTTGGCGGCGCCTCGTGTTTGGGTTGGCGATGTCACCCATCGTCTTCTGGGAGCCTGGCACGTCCACCAGGGCGTTTGGTGTTTTTGTGTTGAGCTGGAATTTCCGGGTTGGTGGTGAGCACCTGGCTGTGCTTTCCCGGGTTCTGGTGGCTCAGGGAGGCATTTCCCCTCTTTTGTTGACTCCAGGCTGCCGTCTGGGCTCCCATGGCGGTGGGGGAGGAGCTGGGGGGCTGGCCGGGGAGCAGGGAGGGGTGGGGGGTGTTAGCCAGGATCCCAGTGAGAGCCTCAGGAATTGCAGGGATGGCCTTGTTTTGTTTGGGGGGTGGGATGGGTTACTGGGATTGAACTCAGGGACCACCGAGCCCCCTCCCCAGCCCTGTTTTGTATTTTATTTAAAGACAGGGCCTCACGGAGTTGCTTAGCACCTTGCTCAGTGGCTGAGGCTGACTTTGAACTCACCATCCTCCTGCCTCAGCCTCCAGAGCCGCTGGGATGACAGGCGTGTGCCACCAGCCGTGCCAGCTGCCCTTGTTCTTGCAGAATGGTTGAGCTGACAGCTGAACTGTGACCCGAGGTCGGCCACTGAGGGTTGGGGACCAGCTGGGGTGGGGTGGGTGGGGTCCCTGTCTGCACTTGGCAGTGGGGTATACTGTGCATTAGTCAGCCCCCTTCATAGGGACATGCAAAACCGGTGGCTGAGCACCTATCCATCGTGAATCAAAATGGCAAGCTAAAAGTGTGTGTAGGGGACATCTCTGATTTTTTTCCCACTTTTAAAAAAATCTTTAAAAGCTTGGTTTTGGCCCCAGGTGTTAGTGGATGAGCTGATGACTTGCCGTCTGTGGCTGTCCAGGATCTCCTGTACCTGACAGCAGCCCGATTTCCTGTGGGGGACTCGACTGTCCCCTTCTGAATCTGGCCTGTGGGTCCCGTGGGCAGATCCTGCGCAGGTCCTTGGGTGCAGGTGGCACTCGTGGTCTATTTAGGAGAAGATGGCAGGAGATTCAGAGAGGGCAACATGGAAGGTAGCAGGCCAGTCCCCTCCCCAGTGCAATGCCTAGGTGACCCCGTGGACAGCAGCTCAGGGGCACAGAGGGCCTTCTGAGACCACGTGGGGCCTGTTCAGACCCTGAGGTTACAGGAAGCTGAGTTACTGATTTCCACATCCTGGCTCCTGCTGGTTGGAAGTAGCTCCCTGGCCAGGGGGAAGGGCAATTAGTGTGAGGAAACCTAGGGGCAGTTTCCATGGCTGACCAAGGGGACACAGGCGGGTACCCAGAGCATCCTCTGCGGAGGACACTCGCTGGTGACCTTTTCCCACTGGAGGGCCACCTCTCTCCACTCCGGTTGGTGGAGGCAGGATGGGAAGAGGAAGGGGAGGGACAATCAGGCCCCAGCCGCAGTCACCAGCAGCTTGTCCTGGGCAGCCCAAGAGGAAGATGTTCATGGTGGGGCCACTGCCGTCCGCGTCGGACCTTCCCACGTCCTGAACAGCAGGTCACTTACCAGCTTCCTTGGCACCGGGCATCACCCTGGGTCCTGTTCTGAAGCCTTGTCCCCAGGAGCCGACCGCGTCTCCTGTGTATTCTGCAACTCCCCCACTTAGGCTAGCCAGAGGGTGTCAGGGACGAGGGTGTCACCAAAATCCATCGCGAAGTTCGCGTGTCCCCCACCCCAGGTCCCGGTGGGATGAGGTAGACTTAAGGACTTGCTGAACGGAGGCCAAAGGCCATATGCATGAGCGAGGTGATCAAGGAGGTTTTGAAAAAGAAATTTGAGGCCACACAGATCTGCGCAGCTTGCAGAGGGGCCAAGGGTTTATAGAACCGTCAGTGTGAAGATAAAGGGTCTCTGGTGGTCCTCATTTGGTGGACACAAACCTCACCCTCTGGAGCACAGCAGCCTCTTACCGAGTCGGGCAGAGGCGACATCCTCCCGTGGATGCGGGCTCTCGGTCTCAAAGGTCAGCGCTGACAACACGTGCATCTGCCGCCCTCTCGCTGTGGACTAGACGCTGCTGGGCGAGGGGGTATTTAAGCACGACCTGCCTGTGGACCTCTGGGCTCCCTGCCCCTCCTCGTCCTGCCTGCCCCTTCCACACCTCAAGGTTGATTTGAAATTCTTCAGCTCCTGAGACTAGACGGGTCGCGGCTGCCGAGTGAGGCCCTCCAAGCAGGAGCGCCGGCCGCTCTCCGCGGGTATAGATGGGCACGAGCTGTTGAATCACTGGTGCTGGGGGCGGGGGGTGCATCTGAAGAGGCCGTGGTGCGCTGAGGCCCGCGGAGCCACCAAGCTGCACGGTGACACATGAGGGTCCAAATGGGAGTCTGCGCTCCCATGGGGGGCGGGGGCGGTCCTGGAGGTCACTTCCCAGCTCCGTGACTGTGATTTCCCCAGGCCTGAGGTGCGTCGGCTGTCAGGGGCACTGATACTACCCGCTTCGTGGGACTCTTGGGGAGTTAAATGACATAGTGGTGGCAGAGTGTGCAGCAAGTATTTAGCAAGGTCCACTGTCACGGTCACCAGGGAGGGTCCTGGCAGAAGGCAAGTGGGAGACAGCTGGGGAGCCTGGGGACAGTCACTTAAAGCTCACCAGTGTGAGCAGGTGTAGGGACACCAGAAGGGACAGTGCCCTTACCTAGCATCATGACCACATCTTGGTTAAAAACCATGAGGTGGACAGTGGTCACCAGAGCCTGGAGCTGGAGGGAGCTGTGTTAACGGGGCTGCCTGGCAGGAGCTACAAGGAGGGTGTCCCCCACCTGCAGTGACCGTCAGGGAGGAATCTGGAACATCACTCCTGACCTCCTTCTCTTCCCTGCCTCAGCTGTCCCCTGTGGGTGCTCCCACGTGGTCCACTCCTGAGGGCCCAGAGCACAAGGGAAACCAGGAGAGGATCCAGGAGAGGCAGCATCCTGGGTGAGCCAGCCAGCTTTCTGTTGCTGTGACAAAATAACTGAGAACAGTAGTTTATAAGGAGAAAAGGTTTACTTCGGCTCAGAGGTGACATGTGGTCTGTGGTTGACTGGGGTGGCTTTGGGGCCTGTGGCAAGGCAGAACGTTAAGGCAGGGAGCATCTGGCGGGGTAAAGCTGCTCACTCCATGGCACCCAGGAAGCAGAGGGGAGAGGGGAAGGGGCCATGGTATCCTCCTGAGGGCGTGGCCTAACTTCCTTCCACAGGCCCTGCCTCCTACGGGCTCCACGGCCTCCCACCAGGTCAGGGGACCTCACCTCCAGCACAGGCAGTCACTCCAGATCCAAATGGAGGGCCCAGCACCTCCAGGTCCCCCTCCTCCCTTGCTGGCCTCTGCTCCTGTCACCACAGTGTCCTGCCCTCTCTGTCCCTGATCTCTCACCCTCCTGCTGGGACCCACCTGGAAACGCAGGGTCACCTCTGCATCTCCAGCTCCCAGGTGGAATCTCACCTGCAAAGTCCCTTTTGCCGTGTAAGGTCACCTATTCACAGGATCCGGGGAGAAGCACACAGGGGTCTTCACGAACCCACCATAACCCCAGGGGGGTCGGAGACAGTGGCCATTGATATTTCCGCAGCAAAGTGTGTGAATGGTTCCTGCCAAAGGGTCTGCACCAGGGGTCAGCAGACTGCAAGGCGGTGGGCGGTCAGCCTCCCTTGGTTTTGTAGAACAGGGTTCACGGAGCCCAGCTATTGCCCAGTCCTGCCAGAGCCGCGTGGAGTGGTGTGGCCAAGCCTGCATCGCTGACCATCTATCTGGCCCCTGGCAAAACACCGACTGCCGACTTCCAGCGTAAATGACCTCTCCAGAGAGTCCGGCTGGTTTGGCCAGAGAGTGAGGTTCCCCGTACATTTGCCAAAAGTCTTGGTTTTCAAAGTTGTCAGATCTTGGAAGCACAAACAACAAAACGAGGACACCTCGTTTGTCACAGAGCAGGAGAGCCACCCAGATCACGGCCAGCCCACAACCCCACTTCCTGAGGAGTAAGGTGGGCCTTTACTCGACCCATTTTGGAATCATGCGTGTCCAGAAGCATGGAGCAGCCGTGGCCCCGGGCCTCATCCGATCTTTGGGTCTAAAGATGGTGGTCCGCAGGCCAGACCAGGGCTGAGTGACCCAGAGCAGAGCTGTAGCCACACTGCCCCTGTGGAGCTAGGAGCTGACCTTTTGGCCACAGTCACCCGTGCTCCCTGCCACCTGACTGCCTCACCCCATCTCCCTCACACACACGCTCACATCCCTGACGGCATTGAGACTTGTCAGCTGACTTCATCAGTGTGCTGTGCAGAGGGACAGCTAGGTCCAGCCGAGCCTGTCACATAATAAGGTGTCCCAGAAAACAAGTGGCCGGGCTGGGACCAGAACCCAGGTCTCCTGCCCTCTCCTGCCTTTTCCTTCCGTCCGCTCTCAGGCACCTGGTCCTGGCTGGGGTGGGTTCCGACTCACACCAACAGCCTCCTGGGGTTCCTTCTCCCGGCCCTTGAGCCCCCCGCCCCCCCCCCCCCCCCCCCCCCCACACACACACACGGCCTTTCCCAGAGGTCACCTCTGCAGACAGTCAGCACTTTCAGACCTTGAGCAGAGTCCCAGATGAGGCAATCTCTCCTGGCTCCCTGCGATGCCCTGGGGACGTCCCCTGGAGGTCTTCCAGATCCAGGGCTGGGAAGTTGCTATCACACGGATTCAAGGCCACGTCAGGCGAGGGCTTTGGAGATCGTCACGGCTCACCTTTCCTCCAGCTGCGGATGACGGCACCCCAGCCTTGGCCGCCCGCCCTCCTCCAGTGAGGTTCTGGGGGTCTGGTTGTTGGAAGAGGGACTCGCGGCTCTGGGAAGATGGCCCATGATCTCATTCTCCCTGAGGCCGAGTCTCAGAGAATTCCAGAGGGAAAGCAAAGGAAAAACCTCTACCTTAATTACCAACGGGTGTGGAATCCCTTCCAGCTGTTGGGCTTTTGTGAGCGCCATAAGGTTCCCCTGAGCAACTACCTTGTGCTGGTTTCAGCTGAGCTAAGCCCCATCCATAAAGAATCCGAGGTAGGGATACAAATCACTTGGCAATTAGAGTCTTCACCGCAGGTTCAGGGACGGGGGCCAAGGACGCACATGTCCGCACCTTCCTGTTGAAAGAGACTGCAGAGAGCTGGAAGTTTCCGGAAGCCAGTGTCTCTACTTTTTTTTTTTTTGCATTTGAATTCCTCTCCTGCGACCTGTGCACGGTCATTGACGTAGATTGGAAGTGTACCCCGAAGAGGCTCCAGCCGTTCCAACAAATGCACAAAGTGGAAATCTCGAGCTTCTTGGCACAAGCTCCCCCAAGCGACCCCTTCCCTTCCCTCCCGCCATCTTGCCCCACCCCCCCCACCCTGCTTCCCTGGCTGGAGTTTCCTAGGAGCCGCTGACGGGTATGAAACTTGGAGGTTTGTATATTGGGTTGAACAACATTTAACCCCAGGTCCTTCTTCCTTGGATGCGTATTTAAACACGTTTTCCCAGGCCAAGGTTGAGGACGTCCAGAACGTCCCCTGGTGCCTCAATCCAGGGGCTTCCGTCAGCTCTTGCATTTCTGTGTCCACAAGACGGGACAAGAACAATTTGGAGGAGGGAAACCTTATTGGGGCTCATGATTTCACCCCAAGGTCATCTGACTCCCTGGCCCTGGGCCCTGGGCGGAGGGCGTGGAGGAGGACAGCAGCTCAGGACATGGCCATCAGAAAGCAGAGAGAGCTCTGCTGGCCCAAGACCAAATATAAACCCCAAAGGCACGCCCCCGTGACCCACGTCCTTCAGCCACAGCCCACCTGCCCAGTTACCCCCAGTTAATCCATATCCATCGGTTGATCCTCTGAACAGTTGACCATCTCACCACTGAGTATTCCTGCACCGTCCCCGACGTGAGCTTTCCGGGGACACTTCATATCTCAGCCACAGCACGAGGATAGCCCCACTGATGGGAATGCTACTCCATCGGGCCTTCAGCTGCGTTGACCCAAAGTGTCTGTGCGGCCTTATTGCGCATTGCTAATCCCCGCATTCCTTAGCGGTGTTGGTGTCCACGAGGTCTAGTAAGTTCTGTGAGGAGCGTCTGGTCTCTGTTGCCACTCTGCCTGGGAACGAGAGCCCAGGAGGGTTGGAAGGTGGCTCTGTCACCTTCTGCAGCTGTGCCATCGGAGCTGGGCTGTAGTGGGTCAGCACAGCCCCATGACTGGGTAGTGACCACAGGGCATTTGGGACCTGGAAATGTCTACCGTGGTACCTCCATGGTGTCTCTCAGAGTGCCAGGGTGAGACCTCCAGGGCGTCACCGGGTGCTGAGCAACCCTGGCCTGACCAGCAGGGGACAGCAGGCCACTCCTCGGGTAGCTGTCGAGAAGTGTCCTCGGGGCGCAGGACTTCAGAGGGGTCAAGAGCAGGAAATGAGACCTCTGAGCTCCGGGCACCACTGGGGTAGATGGCAGCTGCCGGCGGGTCTCAGCCAGCATCGTCCCTTGAGAAATCATTTAATCCAGTTCTCGCCTCCAGACAAACTCAGAGAGAGGCCACCGCTGTCCCCGGCTGACCCTCTGCCATCTCTCTTAGCCCTGCCCTCAAAAATACCTCCCTACGCGGTCTTGCTGCCATTCACTCCGGCTCTGACCTGCCTTACCGTCCTTATGACCCCAGAGACGATGCTCTCCGCGGCCCGGGACGAAGCTCTGGGGCCGGACAAGGGGTTGGACTCTCACCTCTGCCCGCGTTGGCTGTGGGATTATCAGCAGGAGCTAAAAGCAATGCCCCCTTTTTGTGGGTCTGAAACACAGGGGTAGCATCACCAATTCCTATCTCCGCAGGTTGTTGGGAGAATAAAGTGAAACTCCGGGGACTGGGAGGTGAGAAACAGAATCCCTGTCTAAAGGTCTCCTTCTGCGACACATTCCCTGGCTTCGCCAAGACGCGGGGATTCTGAAATCTCTCCTTCAGTTTTGGATTAAGTCATTTAAGGCTCCAGTCAAAAATGCAAACATCGGGGAGACCCTAGGACACAGAGATTGTATGTCTTTATCTGGGTGTCTCTGGGGACTGGCCCACAGAAGATGGGCAACCAAGGACTGGCCCGTGGACACGGTCCAGCGCTGGCCTGCTTGGGTGATAGCGCAAGAATAACCGCACCAGTCCCCAGCCTGTGCTGAGCCTCAGACGGCCCAAGGCAGTCTGTAGTCACGAGCTCCCAGAGTGACATTGTGGTTGGTCCCTTGAGGCTGTAACAGAGCTGGAAAGTCTCTTTCCCCACATCTCAGCATGCACACAACTTGCATGTCTGCAGCGCTGCTGGCTGGTCAAGCTACCTCTGGCCAGGTGGACGCGGTAGCCAGAGCAGGTGCCGTGGTGAACTGCGCATCTCCTGTGAACCAGGGGAGTGGCCGCAGGGGTGTGGCTGTGTCTGTGTGCACGGCCGTGTCCTCATCATGGTTTGTCCCCTGCTCTGAGTTGTGAAAACTGCTCGCGTGTTGGGCAGTCGCTCACACACCTGGCGTTTGAGGAATCCCCTCGATGGGCCATTTTCTCCTGAGCCTGATTTCACCCGCTGCCTTTGGACATGGACCCAGGGGCAGCGGGCGGGACCTGCATCTCTGGCCTAGGGACTGGCAGGCGGCCCTGGCCCCAGAGTGACCTTGGAAATGAGGCCCTGGGGTAGCTGGAGAGGGAGACCAGATGTGCTCTGTGGTCTGCTAGTGCCCACTCCCACACTGTTCAGTGTCACCGAGTAGCAGGCTCCTCCGACAGGGCCACCTGCTCGTCCTCTCCGGTCACAGCTGCAGCCCAGCTCTGCCAGGTTCCTCCTGGTGTCCTGGGTCTCTCCGCCCTCTGACCTTGGCGGTCAGCCACAGCACCCTCTCTGACGCTTTCCACTGGCCTCTGGAGGGCGCGTGGAGCCGTAAGTCCCAAGTTTCCAACTCTGCACACTTCTCCACAGAATGGAGACGGGGCCCTGAAATGGGGGGAAAGTCACAATCCAGAGGTGTACCTTATTCTGTGACGAGGCTCCACGTGCTCATCTTCCATGGGTCTACACATGATCGTCCATACATACCGTGTTTGAGTTTCACAGTGCTCCAGCTCTGGGACAGTGGGACAGGGGCTTCACAGCCCTGGGTAGGTCCCCTCACTCCCTCTCCTGTGCCCTCTCTTCCTTCCTGCCTCGTACGCCGGCAGGACGCTGTCCCAGCTCTACTGTCCACCCCGCCGTCAAGGGTGGCTCTCGTGAGGCGTCCTCTGGAGGGGAAAGGTGGTGTCCACCTGCGGGGACTGTGTAAAGGCAGCCGACTGCTGACCACTGTGACCACAGTGACTTCCTTGAAGACCCCTCAACCTGAAGTTGGTCTCCGCCTCCCTCGAGTCTGGCTGCGTGACATGGAGGCCTTTCAGGGGGCATTGCAGGGAGGGCTGCGTGACCGTGACTTATAGGCTCCTGCCCCAGATGACGCAGAGAGACCTCCCTTCCCCCAGCTGCGAGCCATGGAGCCGCAGTAGGTGGGGCACACCAGGAGAAGAGCCGTTGGTTTTTGTCCTGGGGATGGGTGGGCCCCAGAGCCACAGCCTCGGCCCTTTTTGGGTCAGGGTCTTGCTCAGTGGCTCGAGGCCTTACTGAGTTGAACCCGTGATCCTCCTGCCTCAGGCTCCCGGGCTGCTGGGATGGCAGGCGGGGGTCTTATGCAGAACGTGGCATTTGCAGAACAGAGCAGCATGGGGTGGGGGGTCTGCTCAGGGTGTCCAGGGAGGAGGAGCGAAGGAGGGGACAGGCTGACATTTACTGCAGACTCGTGGTGATCCCCCCTCCCCCCGGGGCATGTGTTTTACATTCTGTTATTTCCTTTGATTCGCAGAGTAATTCTATGAAGAAAGAGTATCTCCATTTTACAAGTCGGGAAAGAGACCCAGAGAGGGTGGCTAAGTTACCCAGGGTCACAGAGCTCACAGGCATCTAAACTCGGCCTTACCACCGACTTCCGATGAAAGCTAGCTGATCCGTCTTGCTTCAGCCCAATAGGTCTGCTTTCTCCTGTTCCCAAAGGTCACTTTAAAAAAAAAAAATCAAATTTCTGCTGAATATTTCTCGATCCATTCTCAAGACCCAGAAAGTCGGAATTCAGGTTTTGTCAGTCGGCAGGAGTTTGGGAATGTGGCCGTGCCCAGGGTTTACAGGAAGTCCGCCCGAGCTTGGAGTCACTCTCTGGAAGTGAGGGGACTGTCGGGAATGTAAGGGGACAAGGTGCCTGAGTTCCGATCACCTGGGCCTGTTCTCCTGCCTTTGGCTTTTCCACTACAGGAGATACCCGGGTCGTCACACTATTTCTAACAAGAAGCATTTATTTGCTTGTTAAGGGCACTTCATTTTTTTTGTTCAACATGGAAATAGAGTCGGGGATTTAATTGCTGTGATTATGTGGCGGGAGGACCACTCTGGTTATGTGTCACCGGCCGCCAATTTCTCACG